GCCAGGGAAACACGCAGGCTCAACGCCGTCGCCGAGAACAAACCGACAAAACAACAACCGGAAAACCAACGAAAATAACACATCCGCAAATCAATCAACCAACAATATACGGAACCAATACACACAAAAAAAAATTCAGTGACTGGTCTCCAGTCATTGCTACAAACAAACAAAAATGGGCACAATAAAATAAACACATGAGGATTGCGCCGCGCTAGTGCTGAGGGGAGAGCGCAATTTGTGTGTCCAAGAAAAAAAAAACGTCTTGCGTAAATTTAAAAAAAGCGGAAAATAAAACAAAATGTATGTCTACATGAGACTTTATTTAGTTTAAAAAGTGAGTGGAGAAACGGAGATGCTCTCAGTAGAAGCACAAACTCCCCTCCACCGGGGTCCACTCAGCACAGGGCCGCAAAGCCCCATAGTCCCAATAGCAGCAGAAACAGCCGAGACACACACCCACGCATCGTGCCGTCACCGCTTCCTGAATCGGGCCTCACACGTGTAAGGTTGTCGAAAGCAACGGAGCTGTCACCAGAAAGAGAAATGCTGGATGCGTCCTTCGCAAGAATCGCGCTGGTGTTTTTGGATCCACCGTCAGCCATGCTGCCATCGTCGGGCCCATCAGCCAGGCGCACCTTTGGCGATGACGAAGCTGGCGATGACCCCGACTCCTCACCAGCACTGTGATTGCCTTTATGGGCCTCCTCTGGTAGAGGTCCCTTAGGATTCAAACCGTCACCAACCCTCTTTTCTCCAGGTTTCAGCTTGGAGGCAATCTCCCCATCATTCCCCAGCGCTGTGAGTGGTCCCTCAGCAGCCGGTGTTGGAAGTGTGACTTTGCTGGCACTGAGGCTCGTGAGCCTATTATCATCAAGTGCCTCGTTGTACAACAGGACATTGCCCACCGTCACGTCAACCTCATCTGTCCCCTTCGCATCGTCGCCGCCAACGTAGAAGTCCGAGACATCCTGTGAGGTGTACTCAGAGAGCGGAACTTTCTCCCGAATAGGCTTATTATTGTCAACGTACACATAAAACGATTCCCCAAGCTTTTTCAGTACCACTTGATACGTTGTGCCAGGCTGCCACGTACCATCTTCATCTGGCAACCCCCGATACTTTCCGTTGACAGTCAATCCCCACTTCTTGTCCTTCGTGTAAAACAGACCAACAAGCACAGTGCTGGCATTGTCGTTCATCCTCACACCCATCAAAGGAACAGGACTGTCTGTCTCCGGCACCGCGTCAATCATCACCGTCGCCACAAGAGTGAACTCATTGTTCACAAAGTAGTACGGTTGGTTCTGCCCCAGTTTGCCCACCGGCCACTCCGCCCCCGCTCCTGCGCCTCGGAACCTCACGCCCCCCTCCGTGCCTGCCACATTCCCACCATGCACCGTTGCGTTCACTCCGAGGTACTCGTCCTTCCATAAATTCCCTTCCAAACTGTTGGACCAAAAGCCAATCAGACCTTCCGTGGGAACAGCACTTTTACACACATTCTTTATCCGCGGGTCAACAGTGCCAGTGGAAGCACAGCTTTTTAGTGCGGTGTCCATATCTTTCCGGGCCTTCACCACGCTCTTTATCCGCTCCAGCTGCTCAGTCAGGCTCACGGCGACAAGACTGTATGAATCTCCGCTCTTCTTCTCGTAGAGTAAAATCAACTCCTTCTTGTCGGCTCTGTACAGCAGGGAGCTGGCGGCGGCGTCATCAGTTTCACTCGACACCGGCCCAACGTCGTGCACACGGGCATTGTCTGTCATCCAAAGATGCAGCCGACCCTCTCCCTTCTCCTCAGAATACACCGGCATGGTGAGCAGCATCACCTTCTTTCCATCGATGGTTGCAGTGATGAGTCCACTTCGTGCGCCCTCCCCTTTTCTATCACGTGAATTGCCCCACACGCGGGAAATTGGCGTACTGCCAGACCAATAATCAAAAGTCGTAATAGTCCTGTACACATGATAGGAGCCATCCGTGCAGGGAGCCATCATAAAGATGCTTCGGTCATAGACTTCGCCCCACTCCACAATCGATGGATTGTGGCAACCCTCACCCTCCGTATCGACTACAGGTGTCCATCTATTCCACATCGGGGTGAAGCGCACGACCAGCAAAACGTTCTTCCCACCATCCTTTGTGGCCTGCACGGGAAACACAACTGCGCCGTCACCCATCACAGTACCTGATCCTCCGACAGCAGATAAATGAGTCAAGGATTCACGAACTCTAGGTTTAGGATACATTGCATGGGTCTCGTTCCACTGGACTTTCTTCTCTTCACCCTCAGTGACACTCCCCTTCACCAGCACAATCTTACATCCACTTTGATCAGCCTCTTTGCTCTCCAATGTTGCACGGCTGCAGCTTCTCAGCAGCATATAGACATTGTTGCCACTCACAATTGTCGTTGGTCGCGATGTGTCCTTCATTTCCTTGTCACCTTCCTTCAGCAGCTGCGTGTGAAAGGAACCTGTGCCTGCACCCATCGGAATCTCAGTCGGTTCTGTTCCAATTTCCTTGAGGTGCTGTGATACGATGCCAGTGAAGCTGTCAACTCCATTCTTGCACTGGGCCTC